GAGACATACCTAGTGATCGGGGGTGGAGAGCTGGTTTTGATGAGGAGGCATAGTTCCCAGCTAGTGTCGGCTTCACACGGAGATACCTTGGAAGAGCCACAGGCAGGCTGTCCCAATAGCAGAATAGTGATTTGAGCCGGTTAAATTCAATCTTTGTAATTTAGTCTTTTAGATCTCATGTCTATACTTTTAAGCTTATTCAGAAGTATTTTAAGTGGCAGATGGCTGTTCATGTCTAAGACTGTGCTAAGAGCAAGGGACTATCTTCATTGTAGTTTGGACAGATGGTAAAATGTGAATTGTGATTATACACATATTTGTTTACATCTGACATTATAATTCACTGGCATCTTGCCAACCTCTTCAGAGCAGAATATATGTCTTTTTTTTGGTAAAATCATACATAATTCTAAAGCAGCCAGGTAAACAATGGGCCCAATTAGTCTCAGGGGACTTGTAAAAAACAAAATCCTGTGAAACTTCCAGACAGTGGAACATATTTCATCACTTTCACTTTAAGCTCCACACTCTGTATTTCATAAATTCTGTGTGATTAAAATCAATACACTGATTAGATTCTGGTTTTTGATATATGTTGCCTCCCAGGATGCAGTGCACCGGTGCTGATAGATGGGCGTTGTAAAGTTTTTGGTTTATTGAGGGACCCTGAAAGAATCATGTTTGAAGCAATGCTGCCCTCATCTGGATGATACTGCCAGTGCATCCTGCCTAGATGAGTTATTACCAACGGGACATAAACCTCTGGCTTGTGTAGATATAATTTTAAGGTCAAATTAATAATCTTGACGCCCACCAGCACCATACATCAAATAATGCCCATGGTATCTTTCCACTGGTGAATTGAAGCAGCAGTAATTTAATGGCTGGAGGAATTTAGAGTTGAAATATCTATGCTTACAAAATGTAATTTCATGGCTCTTTCTGTGACAAGTGTCTGTATTTGCAAGACCACGCTAGGAGACAGTGGGTACGGTATATTTAACCTCTCTGCAACTGATGGTGAGACCAGCAGAGTGTGATTGTTGGCTCTAACAGACCAGTAACATCTAATCTCCAAGGATGTAATCTGCCCAGCGGAGGAGAGTATTAAGCTAATGCAACCAGCAGCAGGTTGGGCTGGTTGTATTTCTCCCTCAGTCAGCGTGCTGTCTGCAGGGCTGCCTCCTTAGCTGCTGGAGACTGTCAGGGCCAAACAGTAATTGGTCAGAGGGGACTACACAGGGAGGAATGTCTAATTACTAAAAACATATTCCCTCCCTTGGGTCTGGCAGGTAGACGAATACCTTGATATATTTATGTGCTCACGATAATACAAAATTTAGTTGAGGCTGTTGACCCAAATGCCTTCGAGGCAAACTCCCCTTCCACTCAAAAAACATATTGTGCTTTGTTATTTCCCTTGGATGTTTCTTGATGCAGACCGACGGTTGTACCTTCATCTGCTGAAGAGGAAAATGTCTCTGTGCTAATGTACGAGATGATTTTGTGACATCACAACTAGTTCAGAAGCCAATTGTGGTTCAATATGTGGCCGTGTGACGCGGGAACTTGAAGTCTCAAGTGCAATTGACTTTTCAGGGACATTTTGTATTCCTATAGGGTTTTTCCATAAGGAAAGAAAGAGTAGATGTTATTTTTTTAATGTTTAACTGTTGTTGTTGTTTTTGTCTAAAAAAAAAAAACAGACATCAATTGTCAGTCCAAGCTAAATGTGTGTATATCTCGAAACATGTCTGGAGATGCTCTTCAACTTAATCGGTGCTTGTATTATTGTTATATTTCTGGCCACAACAGCTACATGTGGGTTTAAAATACTAATTTGAAACATTGCATAAGAAACGCAATGATTGTACTTAAATAAATAACTGTTATTCGCCCCTTTAGTCTCTTGAAGTGGGTTGAGGAAAAGTGCAAAGCTCTGCTAGAGATCCTATTATAAATGTGTCTTGCAGTGCATATGTCTTATCTTAAAGAATAACGACCCTTGAGTTTAGAAGTGAAGGATGCTCTGAGGCCAGACAGTTTCTCCGCCTGCCAAGTTCCCCACCACAACACTCCAAGTGTCTTTAATCACCAGTGCAGTGGGAGCTGCTGAGGAGTGAACTCCTATTGAGCAGGACCAGTTTTTATTGTCACATGTCACTCTGCATCCAGGCTGTAGCATTAATTAGCACTCAGACTGTGTTGTCTGTTGTGCTTTGTTCCTCCACTGGGGGGAGACTCTGAGAAGGACCTGGCTACATAAAGGGATCATTTTGTTTACACAGTCAGAATTAATGACTTTATCTGGGCCCTCTCGTGATTTCATTGGCCTTAAGTGCATCTAATAGTCTGGTAATTACTCCAAAGCAATGAGCAGTTAGCAGATGTCAAACTCATATGTCCACATGGTTACGGCCAAGGTTGTACGCAGAAAACCAACCTTATTAGCCCGAGGGTCTTTGTTGATTCCAGCGAGTGTTTTGGTATTATCCCAGCAGTGAAATGTGCTGATACATACTAAATGGAGAAGTAGCAGACATGTTAGGTGATTCGTCCATCACCTGCAGCAGTGGGTTTCTCTAGTCTCAGCCTGAAGGGGCCTATGGTGCTCAGCGCTGCCTCTCTGACCCCAACCGTGATTGACTTGATCTCCCCGAGAAAAGCTCCCATGACCTGAGAAAGCTTGAGGAAGCAGGGGATGAAGACAGACATGGCAGAGCAACAATAGACCCCCCCGCCTCTCCCTCCCCCACTCTCACACATACACACAGTCAGCATGTTTGAATTATTACTTTACAATGACACGGGGGCTTGAGGTTGCCATGTTGAGCCACATTTGACATCTCTAAACTTAACCTGAGAGGAAATATAGGAGAGAAAAGCTGTGATTGATGGCTGCTATACTCAACCCCATAACCATATTAGAAATAATTTAAAAAGACGTTTTTAGCACTTAAATTAAATTATTTTTGGCTGACGGTAATAAATAATATATTAGATTTAAAAAGTCCCTTAATGCACATTCAAGTGTCAAGCCGAGAAGGCTCATCATTTCAGATTCAGGTGTCCAGTCAGCAGTAATTAGCTGTACCGGGTGTGACACCTCACAGGTTGTGTTGTTTTCATATGGGGGTTAAATGCCACATCTCCCCCATGGAGTCCACTGCCTGCCTCTGCTGTACAGCCTGTGGTCGGGACAACACCTTGGAGCCAAACAATTACATCAAGGTCATGGAGAGGAGGAATGTTGTGCCGATTAGTGCAAGAGTGCGGCAGCAACCTGCAGAGCCAACAACTCTTCACAGGGATGACCACCGAGACGACTGGTCATAGATTCCAAATGGACTCGTTGAGTTCACTTGTGAGTGTAAACTTCAGTTGTGTAAGGGTCCTAACCACCACACAGCGATGGCCTGTTAGTGGAGACTATATTTCATGGCCTTTATAACAGCAGCATGTTTCAAAATACTTTATCCCATACAGTTGTTCACAGTCATGCTGTAATAAGTCTTAGACGAGTAATAATAATAATCTGGTGGGAGACAACGTGTTAAAGGATTAGAAATCAAACGTTTATAAGGAGACTGAAGTATCGGTGCTATTATCGTCTATTCTACTTTCCTCTCATTCGAAACTCGGACCATTTGCCTGCCAGAGGTCGGCACAGCAATCAGAGTTGCTGTTGTTCCTCTGACTGCAATGTGTACAATTAGAATACGTCTTTGGGAGCAGATCCGTATGTGCTCCCTGAGGGCCAGATGCTCGCTGTTTATCAAACACTGTATATTGGCCTGCATGGTGTTTATTTGATTTTAATTCTAACGTTGAAGTAACACGTTTTAATAAGGGATGCAGTAATTATATTTTTCATATAATTTTTTTAATTTTACGTTACACAGTTTTTAAAAGTTTCTCATTTTACTTCCAATTTGAATGATCCAGACAATTAAAATCCCCATCTGTCTAGCCTTTATTAGCTAAAATATAATAAAATAAAGTGCGAATTATTTTTCTAAATTGTCGTATGCAGTAAAATTCGTACCGACGAGGCAGATATAATCTGTTGTATTTGGGAGCCTTCTGGGGTGTTTTTTCCACGAGTCACTTGTTGACACTAAACTTTCGGCGCTTGTGAAGTGTTTATTGCAAACGAATTCCTTTCAAGAGAAGGTGGCTTTATACAAACACACGCGGGTCTTCGCTGTTTAGGTTTGACACTGTCCTGCTGAAAAGTCAACAAGTTCAGACATGGTGACAATCAGTGCGCAGCAACTTGTGGATCATAGTTGATTCTATATGTACCAAGCTGTTATAACCCTTATTCTGTATTGATCCGTAGAGCTGGTAAAATGTATTTTAGACTTGCATTTCTATTAGATTGATGGTGATCTGTATGTGCCAGATATACTTGAAGTTTGTCAAAGAAAATCTGATTCATAGGAGCTCCGCTACTTGAGTTCAAAACGGATCTTGTAGTTTGACTCATTATATCCTAAAAACTAAGATCACGCAAAATAATCATCCAACATATATACTGTATATTGGACCCATAGGAGTTATGGATAAATATTTACTCGGTTGACTTTTTATGATATTTATTAAATGATATAGTGCCATCGCTCCACTTTGTACCTTGGTTTTGTTTAAAACCAATTTTGTTTAAAAACAATTCTAAATATATTCTTTGCCTTGTCCAACACAAGCTCCAGTGCGTATTTACGCACGGACAGAAGTTCTAAGTCACTAACGCGCCTTAATGAGACAAGTAAAATAACACGAAGCTTAGCATGAGAGTTAAAGGGAGTATCGGTGCTCATTGATAGGGAGATCTGGGTCAATACAGATAGAAAGGAGGGGTGTGACCATCCCAAAAGTTTTCAATGGGCTACCTGTAGCGCCGCGCATAAATACTCCTCCCTCCGAGGATGAGTTCAGTCCTGAGGGAGAGACACAGAACAGACGAAATTAGGTTTTGGGAATACTGGTTAGGGCGGATTATGAACGCTTTTGGACACCAACCATCTAACCAGCAGACCAGCCCTATTCAGCACCACAGCGCTCAGGACCTCCTGGACATGGCCGTGTACTGCGATAACTACGGAGTGTACCAACAGAACCTCCACCACCATCACCCGCAGAGGCCGCCGACGCACCCCACCAGCTACGGCCTCGGAGAGTACACCTCCCCGTCCGCGAACCCGTACCTATGGCTGAACGGACCCAGCATCAACTCCTCTCCTTACCTCCCCGGGAACAACGGCACGTCCTACATTCAGTCGGGATACGGCTCGAACCAGAGGCAGTTCTTACCGCCTCCCACCGGGTTTGGTGGGGCAGATCTGGGGTGGCTGTCCATATCCAGCCAGCAGGAGCTCTTCAAGATGGTCAGACCACCTTACTCCTACTCAGCGCTGATAGCGATGGCCATACAGAACGCCCAAGACAAAAAGTTGACTCTCAGCCAGATCTATCAGTATGTCGCTGAAAACTTCCCGTTCTACAAGAAGAGCAAAGCTGGATGGCAGAATTCAATCCGCCACAACCTGTCACTGAACGACTGTTTCAAAAAAATGGCACGGGACGAGGATGACCCCGGTGAGTCACAATGAAGTATTTCTGTGTGAGATATGATTATTAAACATGCTTCAAGACTTGGCTTGAATAGACTGTGGCATGTTGATGCTGGTTTATTTATTTTTTTTGTGATAAAACTCTTAAAATTGCTTTTATTTTTATTTTTTATAAATCTATAAATCTATTAAAACTAATAAAGAAATTCCAGATCGCTGACAGTTAATTAAGTTAGTTTTTAAAGATGAAAACCCAGATTAACAATGTATTTGTGTGCAGGTGAATGTGAACTAAAAGTGTTGTCAGCCATATTTAACCCTTCATTTGTTTTACTCTCATCCAGGTAAGGGAAACTACTGGACGCTGGACCCCAACTGCGAGAAGATGTTCGACAACGGGAACTTCAGGAGGAAGAGAAAAAGGAGAGCCGACATAAACGGGGCTGACACCACCGCTCTCCCCGTCAAGTCAGAAGACGCGCACAAGCTCTCCGACACCACCAGCCTCCTGAGTTCCTCCCCGCCCAGCCTGCACGGATCCCCGGCCTCCACGGAGCCCAAGTCGTCCCCGTCTCCGTCCGCGGAGCACAGTCCGTGTTACAGCAATTTCGTGTCCAGCGTGAACTCGCTGCTGGCGGGCAGCAGCAGTAGCAGCACCGAGGGCTCCCGGGGCGCGGAGAGGGACTACGGCTCCGGGCACCTCGGGGGACTGTCTCAGACCAGAGAGGGCATGTCCGGACTGGGCTCCTACTCGCCCACTTTAATCTCTCCTCTGAACTCTGACAACAACAGAATGAACTATTACACATCAGTACAGAGCCTCTCCAACCATTTTAGTGTTAACAACCTCATATACAGCCGGGAAGGAACAGAGGTGTAGCGACTGTCTCTGTCAGTGCTGTGCTGCTTACCGAGAAGTCATTTATCACTCAATGTTAGCCTTTACAGTTCTTTAGTAACCTACTGTTATTCATTACTACTCATTTTGTGGTCTAGTAGGCCTCTTTGTAGCACTGGAAATTAACTGGTATTTTTTTTCACAACCCTTCCTAACTGGGAAAATATATTTCAGTGTAAAGGGAATAACAAACTGCCAATTCTCTATTATGGTTTGTCCATACAAGTGCAACAAACATGTTTTATTTGTAAAAAAAATTCACGAATGAGCCCACGGAAATCTATCCTTGAGCTGATGGACGCCTATCTTTTTTTAAATACCTGTCTTAAAGAAGAAGAAGACACCTATGTACAGAAATTATTTTCATAAGATGTGACATGTATTTTAGACTGAATTTTGTTCTGTGTTTTATCTTAAAACACTTGTCGATGTTTGAATAAAAGTCATTTATTTTAACTCTCGACTTATGTGTCATTTCTTATCCGAGTGTTAGATGGAAAAGAAAATCAGAGATAAAAGTCGAGGCCGCTTTGTGACCGTGTGACATGCACTGATATCTACTTTAAATAGTCAAAAGACATTTTATTACATGTGTCTGGAAGTCATTTAAGGTATTTCTTCCTGTTAAAAGTCCATTGCTTGTTCCTATAATATTCCTACTGAGTCGATAGTGGAGTCATTTTATCATCACTGAATGATAACTGTGTAACTAACCCATCTGACGGGCAATTATTTATATATTAATCACATATATTTACAATATTTTGGAGACAATGCTGTGCTTTCTGTCTATAATAGGGCCTATAGTCAGGCCCAAAAAAAGGCAAATACTCTGATTAAGTTCTCAATAGTTTTCAAGAAAGGGCTAAAAAGCTTTATAAATGCTTTAGAGCCTGTCAGGAAATCTGAAGTCAAGTGGCTGTAAGCAGTAAAGTGTGTAAGACAGAGACATTTTCCGCTTGTCACTTCTAATAGCCCCTTTTCATCAAGCAATCAGACCTTTAACTTACTTCCACAAGGTTCAAAAGTTCAGCTTTTTGTCTGGGGCTGGATTTGATCACTGTGCCTGTTTGATGTTAACCTGTTGGCTGAATATTCCACCTGTCTCCATCTATTCACAAAGTCTTGTCACGCAAAACGCTGGCTGTTCCGTGCGTGTGTGTCTGTGTGAATCCCGTTAATGGGATTTGTGGGTTCTTTTTTCATGTTTTGTTGTACTTCTGGAAGAGCATCCGCTGAACAATTGTCGAGAGAGTTCAATAATGCTCTTTTGTTGTGCTTGTGACCCGGGGACACAACAGAAAGCCTGCTATTGGGGAGAAAATATGAAGCAGTCCATGCAGAGGAAATGTTCAAGTGATTTAACACCCCGCTCTCGTTTTTATTTTCAGACAATATGGATACGCACGGAATCAAAGTCTGTAAATAAAAGGAAACACCTCTTAATTGGTTGATAATTGAATTCACTCAGGCGCTCTGTGGTCTGGAATAAAAGAAAAATTAATTGACAAGACTTTCGTGCCCCTTGTTGGAACACAATGGAAGCTGGCAATTGAAGAGATCCCCTCCTGGGCTCAAATGAAAATATTGCCATCTGAAGATCTGGGAACAAATTATCTCCCTCGGGCCACATTTTGCTCTATTATCTGTGGAGCAGGGCCACGGAGCAGACAAAGAGGATTTTTGTCATACAGCAGCGGGTTCTCACAGTAACAAGTTTTCTGTTGAAATCCTCATCACGTCCAGTGAATGGAGTTTAAACCCTTTCACATTCGGAGGCCTTTTAGTCGTTATTACTGTCATTCCTTGATCCTTCAATTACACTATTTTTTTTTCACTCAAAGTGGAATTGTCAGGACACAATAATTCAGTGTTATATGAAACTATCAAACAGTTGTGAAATGTTACTAAGTTCATTTAATTCCTTATTGGTGTACTTGTACTTTACTTGAGTATTTCCATTTTATGCTGCTTTTTACTTTATACATTTTGGTGGCAGCCTTTTACTCCGCTACATTTATGTGACAGCTTTAGTTACTAGCTACTTTGTCGATTCAGATTATTAATTAAAAATATAATCAATTAATACATTATCAAGTATTATTATATGTTAAGTGACCCTGCAGCATATGAAGTAGTTAAAATAAGGCCCACATTTACCAACTGCAACATTAGTGATGCTTATATTAATGCATCTATAGTTATAATCCAATAATATATATTGTTCTGTAATGGTCCATTCTGTATAAAGTGTACTTTTACTCTTGGTGCTTTAAGTATAGTTTGATTATTATGTACTTTTGCTTCAGTAAAATGTTTAATGCTCATACTTGTGTGAGTATTTCTACTTATACTTTACTTTACTGAAGTAAAAGATCTGAATACTTTATAAACTCGAAGACCGCATACAGAGCAAATAGCCAAGAACATCCACTTGCTTTCCAAGTTCGATTCAGCCCTCTCAGTTCTCAGAGACGTAACGCTCCAGTGCCCCGTGCCTGAAGGGCACATTTAGCCGGGCCCTCATGAATATCAGTCAGGCCACCTTGTCTCTGCTCCACCTGCTCCAGGGCCCCTGGCTCCAGGGCTGAAGGCCCAGGCCCAGCAGAATACCTCAGCATAAGGGTGGCCCCGGTCCCCACACATGCCTAGTGGGCTAAACCCATAATGATGGGTTTCAACCTCAAAGGGTCATCCCTCCAAAGGCGAGGTTGACTCATAATAGAGGGAGCTGGTGTTTCAGAACTGGATTATTTCATTCCTTTTTCTCTTTACGGAGACTAGATGCACCAGCGACTCATCCGATGCCAACTCTGGAGAGCAGGGATGGCTTTACCTGCAGTGAGTTTTAGTGAGGGAGAACAAATCTAATTGCTACAGACAGAGTACAAAAACACAAATAGGACTGATGTTGTTTAGATTAAGGTATATTTTTAATTGACGATATGAGAGTTTAGTGTAGATTTCACAACCGGAGAGACGTGAAGAGGAATTGTCTGCAGCTTGGGACCCGGAGGCTTGTCCACGTTGTCTAGTGAGTGACACGAGCTGGAGTGATGAATCACTGGATAAAGTTGCACTCAGCAAAGTGAGAAACTTAACTCCCATTAGCTGTAAGCGAGATCTCCTCGACTGATAAAACGAGCAACTAGACTTGCAACCATCTTTCGCTCCACAAACCTGCTTCTGAATATGTGCTGTCCAGGCTTTTTGCTGAGCCATGTGCTGTAGTCTTTTTTTCTTTTTCTGATGATGTGGAGTGACTTTAAGATGAGCTTTGTAAGGCAATTTGTGGATGTGTAAAGCATTCCGGATTTCAAATATAAAGATGTGTCCAGGGCCTAATAATTCTCCGCAGCCCATATAACACTACCTTACAGACAAATCTGTAGACTGTGCGTCTGACCCCGGTGAAGAACATGATATCTTGGCCTTTACAGTCTGGGCCTACCCTGAAATTTCACATCTGTTTGTAGCAGTCAGTGGGCATTATAGGGATCATTTCTTATATTACAGCTCAATCTCTTGAGGAAGTTAAATATTTTTGGGAACAATATGATGACAGCTTCTGGGGAAGCCACTATACGGCTGCAGGGGGGGGGGGGGCAGCTCTCTTCACTGCACTTTAAAAGGATTGTGTGTGCAAATGATAGCTGAGGAGAATGTCTATCAATTGGCATGACCTGATTCGGTTTCATCACTCCCCATGCAAAGGCCCATAAAAAGCCTAATGTATGGGCCGGTAACGGCATGGGATCCCCGCTCCGGACCAGCAGCCATATGGATTATTTTATACAGAACAAGAGCCATTGAAGCGCAAACTGCTCGGTTGTTGAGATCATCTGAAAAATGAGGAGACACCTCTCACTACATCACTTGTCATTCTCTTGAATTTGCTTTGTTCTTTTAAATTGTATTTACGTTTTATTTAAATTCGGGGAAAGACTCAGATTTGTGTGTTAACTGTCGGTTACTCAGCATTAAATAATCAACACTGAATCTAAAAAATAGTAAAAAAAACTTTCACAGTTGAATCATCACGTTTTTCCCCATGCACTTTGTTGTTTTAGTCATCCATATAATTTTCTTTTTATCGTGTCAACCGCACATGCTTGCCTCCATTCTAGCAGTGGAAACCAAGACCTAGAATTATTGGTGAGCACAGGAAGGGCAGCCACTTGAGAGCCAGTAAGGCTTGCCAGCAGAGGAACCTGCTGAAAGAGTCAAAGAGATACAAGGATTAACGGACTATAACGAGTCCCAGTAAATCCACAGCCAGGGCCTGTCTTCACATCGCTCTGTCTGGAAAACCTATCCCCAAAACAGTGTAACTTATCCCCCGTCTCACTCTATTGCAGGAATATATTTTGACAAAGTCTTTGTTCTCACATTAGGGAACTGTAGGCAGATCATCCGTTATCCGTGACCTTTGTCATAACAAACCATGGCAGTGGTTTTACACACCGCTGAGAAGCCAGAAAATAGAGTTCACATCAACCAGGCTGATGTTTTAAACATGTTATGGGTCATTCTGACTTACTTGAAGCCAAAAAAAAAGAAAGAATACGTAAAGAAAAAACTCAAACCAAATTCTTTATCACGTTATTATTTTTACAACTATATCCTCTGATAATCTCAATACAGTGAACATCTTTCTCAGAAGATCCTCAATAAATCAGCAGCCATTCATCACCTACATGAAATTCCAAACCATGACCTTATGAGAACAATATCCAGGGTTCATGGAACATCAATTTCTATGTGCAGCGCAGCAGAACAAATATCTGAGTAACGGCCGACATGTAATCATTTTAGCTCGGTTCAGGGACCACTTTAAGTTTTGCACATGATGATGGTGCATTTGACCTTTATGCGAACAGGAAAATCCACCATGTTGACTGCTGCAGTGTGAGTTGAAGTCAAAAAAACGGAAAAATAATTGAATCCTACGTTGCTTTAAATTAAAGCAACTGATCCGAACA